GGAGGAGAGAGAGAGAGAGAGAGAGAGAGAGAGAGAGGGCAAGAGCAAATTGCAGTGAGAAATTATTTTTTTTGTTTAAAAAAAAAAATCAGTTCTCTCTTTGTTCTGTTGAGAAAACATTGTTCTATACCTACTACTTTTTTGTAATCCCTTTCACATTCATTTACCCTGTTATTCTTGAAATGAAATGCCAAGAGAATATCAGTCATATCTTTCTGCCACTCTCTGTATTCCTGCTCATATTTTCTAAGAACAGTCCACAGTATTTGCTCAGCCTTATCTTGTTTTTTTAGGTATGAGGTGCTGGGAAAAGGGGTGTTCAAAATGTAAAAAAAAAGTGAGTTTGAATTTAAATTGTATTGGACTGGAATGACAGGAAAAGGCAGGGCTGGGGAGACAAGCTGGAACATTGCTCCATTTTGAAGAGTTTGAGGTTTTGGTTTTTCAACATTTTTTCAAAAGAAGCCTCTTACACTTACCAAGGCTGCATTTATTTGATAACAAACACAGTAAAAAACAACAATAGTATATATTATATTTCTATAATATTATTATATTATATATTTTAATATATGTTAAAATATATTTATTTCTTGTGATGCTAAAGCTGAATTTTCAGCAGCCATTTCAGTGTGGCTTCAGTGTCACATGATCCTTCAGAAATCAGGATTATTTGATGAATAAAAGTTTAAAAGAACAGACAGTATTTATTTGAAATATAAATTTGTAACCTCATGAATGCACTGTTGATTTTATCAATTTAATGCATCCTTGCTGAATACAAGGGGTAATTTCTCTTTAAAAAAATAATTTAAAAAATCACTTGGTATCATTCTTTCAGCACATTGGATTACTTGTTAAATGTACTTTTGTAAACTATACTTTTGTATGCTATCAGCTTTATAAAATCTTTTTAGATAAGGCCAAATTTTACATGCCTGCTTAGACTCAAGCTTTAAATAGATACTGCTTTTCAGAACTATATCTATTAACAGTTTGAGTCTATGAAGGCATGTCAAATTTGGTTAAAAAAATGCTATAACAATGATAAACATAAAAATGGCTGTATTTCTATGGTCCTTGACTCAATTGTCCTGAAATGTATGGTTTATTGTCTCTGTCTAGAAACGGGCTTTCTGAGAAATGCTTATTATCTTGGAAAATATAGGCTCCAAAGCCCTATAGTGCTTTAAACCTGATAATTATTGCTCATTTGTTTCTGTTTAGATTGATTTCTGTCTGGGTTCATTGTAAGCTATAAAACACTTTGAAGATGAGAATACACTGTTAGTTCCAGCAGGCACTTTAGACTAAAGTTTGATTGCAAATTGAGAGTTTGGGCCAAATCAAACCTCAAAGACAGCATATTTTGAGAGCACCTGAATCTGAAAGCCTTGTAATGGCTCGATGAAATTGCAATGAGTCACTGCGGCACTCACACTTTGAAAATCAGTCTGGAATTTGAGCTCACAGAATCCAGACAACGTGTTTCAGAGAATGTGCTAAAATGAAGATAACTAGACAGTCATCTCAGAAATAGAATAGCGTTGCATGACTAATGTGACTCTGTTAGTGTAAATACTGAATTCTGAAAACAAATAGTGACAGACATGCATGTAGTTAACACATCTAATTATTGTTCCGTCTCATTTCAGTGGATTGTATACACAGCAAAGGTATTTAGATTAAGACTTTTAGCACTGAAACTAGATCTATAAGCTAGTAAATTGCAGTTTAGTCAGAAAATGTACAGAGAATTGTAATAGTAGAACAGTAATATTGTGAAACATTATAGCAATTTAAAATAACTGTTTTCTATTTTAATATATTTTAAAATGTAATTCCTGTGATGGCAAAGCTGTATTTTTAGCAGCCATTCACATTTCTTATTATTATTAACATTGAAAACAGTTGCACTGCTTAATATTTTTGTGGAAAATGTGATGCAGTGTTTTCAGGATTCTTTGATCAATTTAAAGTTTAAAAGAACACAATTTATTTAAAATAGGAACTTTGTAACTTTCTAAATAACTTTTGATTAGAATTTAAAGATAAATGAATAAATAAATCTTATTGACCCTAAACTTTTGGAGGGTTTAGTGTATTTTTTGACAACCAGTAGCATGAATGAACTGTATATATAAACCTGTAACAAATTTATTCTTTTGAAATGTTTTTCTTGAAAAGTGTGCTTAAGAGTCCAAACATTTTGGTATTACAATTAAATTAGTGGCCCAGAACTGTTTTCAGTGCATTGAGTGCAATGTCAATTTTAACCTTCTGTTACTGTTTTGTTGCTGCGACTACACTACTAATAACTAAAGGAGTTTATTAAGGAGTTTATTAGTACAAATTAATTGAAGGATCAAATACTAAATTCAAGTATAATAGATGTAAATGTGTATGGGTCTAAAGTCTTCAGGTTTAAAGTGTATGTGTGCCCTGCCTTTAGTAAAATGTGTTCTCATTAAGAGTGGAAGGCTCTCTGGCCCTCTCTTGTCTTCATTAAGACAGGACTCAATAACATTGATAGCACACTGAACAGAATGTGGATATATGTATAGGTTTGGCTATACTTTTTTGAAAAAGGAAAAAAAAAAACATATTTACAATTAAAACGTCAAATGATTATTATTATTTGAGATGTTCTTTAATGTGTGTGATTTTATCCCTCACCCTGGAGCAGCAGAATCACTGTATTTTTTTTTCCTCCAATCAACCTTTTCTAACGAAGGATGCTTGAAAGGGTCTTTGTCACTTCCCCTGTGTGCCTCATCACTGCATGCGATCTGATTCATGAATACTAATTTCAGTGTTCGTACGGATCACTGTGACTCGTCCTTCAAAATAACCGGATATGCTTATGCTCAGAGCGAGACTAGGTCTCTCTTAAATACATTACTGATTAGCAGGGCCGTGCACAGACCTTTTGAGGGGCATGTGCTGAAAATTAGCTAGCTAGAATACATGCATATTAACAGCGTAAACATGCGACCATATAATATGATTAAATGTTAAATCATAAATTTCTTAGAAATATATTTTACCTAGGTGACGAGGATCACTCAGTCGCTTTACTTCGGAGTGTAAGTGCAAAAAGGGCATGTGCTCTGCACAGGTTGAGCCCTACCTGTGCACGTGCCTGCTGATTAGCTTTACCAAGCACTGCAGAAGTAACTCAACTGCTATTCATTAAAGCAGTATCTCTGTAGTAGTGGTTTGGCCACGTTTCTAGCGTCTCTCTGTTTGAACTGAATGATTCATGTCTGATTGTAATGCAGCTGCAGTGAGTGGTTCAGCACCCAGAAAACCTCCCGGCACCAGAGGGAATGAAGTATAGATGAATGCATTTCATGAGACCTCACAACATATTGCTTATAAAACATGTCAAGTACACAAAAACCATATCTTAATCCATATCTTTGTGGTCTACTTTTTTGTCTCGTTTTAAATAGATAGATAGATAGATAGATAGATAGATAGATAGATAGATAGATGAGTGGGCTAAAAGGTGAGGATGGAATATATATGACCCCAAACATTTGAACAGTAATTCACTTTAGTTTGGTAAATATGCAGATATGCAATATCTAACCTCTCCAAATGAATGCACATGCATAAATGTGTTTTGAATAATTCCCCAGCTTTAATATATGTGTTTGTATGTGCATGCAGGCAGGCATACATGTGAGTATGCTCATTTGTGCCGATGGCTGGAGCAAGGGCCTGTCATGCACATGTGAGAAAGAATGAGCGCGAGGAAGGAACGATGAAGAAAAAAGAGTGATGTCATAAGCACAGAATGTGAAAGCCTTTCCCTGTTAGATTTTTTTTTCAGCCTCACATTTTTATGGAAGCATCTCCACTATTCTTAATCACTGGTTGTCCACAATCTCATGGGAAGAACACAGGAACTGCCCCTCCCTGCATTCTCTCTGTCTCTCTCACTCTCTCTCTCTCTCAAGTGGAAGATCTATTTGCTTTTTATTTGTATGTTTTCTTGAGAGTTAACATGATGTATTCTCGAGACCTGGGTTCTCCGGTTGTGCAGCAGCATGGGCCAGTTCCTAATGTTCTGTCCGGTGAGGGATCCGTCTGGGGTCATGTTGGCACCTTACAGGTGCTCTGTGAAGAGCCCAGCAGTGCAGGTTCACGGGGTGAAAGGGAAGAGTTAAAGATTCAGCACAACCTGATGTAACACTTGCACATTAAGAGCAGGTAAGATGGGAAATTAATTCAATCTTTGGACTTTGGAATAGTGCTTTCTTCAGAAAGTTGTTTTAATTGGAATAATGGTGTGTATGCTATATGTTAATGTGTAAAATGTGTTTGCATATAATTTAAACGTATTGTTTACTTAAAAGTGTAATTCACCTGATTTTAAATAGTGGATACAATTACTGTAGTCTAACATAAAAGTTTGCTTTAACATTTTTGCTTTTTTATGTGCTCGATGTTGTACTGTTTAAATATTGCTGAAAAGTCTTGAATTGACTGTTTAATAGCAGGTTCTCATTGTGACAACTTACCTCCATGTTGTGACAAGATATTCACCCTTTTTTTAAGAGTTTTTTTTTGTGTGTGTGAGTTTTTATGAGCTATTTTCAAAAAAATATTTAGTCTAATCCATTGTTTTTGGGTGAAACTAAATACATTTTTTGATATTCTTGGAAAAGACAGTACCAATACTTGCTTAAACCAGATGTTTCTTCATCAGAGGATATAACAGTGCAGAGTAGTGATAAAAATGCAGTGCGAATCAGCTGGCAGGAATGTTTATCCTGTGACTTGAGCTCAGCAATGTGGTTTCAGGCAACAAATTATTGCAGCCCTTCAGTTCGGATCACAGCATGCCCTGTTGGGATCCTAGCGCTGTCTGTGTAAGATAGTGTTTGGTAGCGCTGCCGTGCGCTGGGCAGATCAGGAGCCGGGTCATATGGCATCCGTGTGGGGCGTGTGAAGATGTAGATGATGGGGCCTCTAGGGGAACTTGAGTGTTTGTGTGTATATGTCTGTTAGCTTGCACTTTTAAGTGTGTGCGACCCCTCTAGGTCACTGTTTTCCATTTCTTCAACCCTGTATCTCCGCAACCGAATTCACAGAAAATTTGCTTACATCTGGAGGAGCATTTCCGATTTCCAGATGCTGCCAAGTCTTGTCTTTACTTAGCACTGTCTCATCTCTCTTTGTAGTTTCACCATATCCATGTGGAGAAGAAAAGCATATTGGGGGAGGACGTACAAGTTTAAAGCTCTTGAGATTAAATGGATGGCTCATTATTTGATCTGATTATGGTGACATGCTATTTAACGGACTGTTTAATAAATTGTCATTTGTTCCAGTAAGCATTAAATGTTTTTTTTTATTATTAATTTTATTCAAATAATCAGGTTAAAACACTCCTCAGTTAAAACAGTCACTGATGTTTCTTTTCAGTTTAACGATCTGCTTGTTTATTCTTATACATCAATTCCCAAAACACGCGCACGCACACACACACACACACACACACACACACACACAAACAAAGGGTCCTTGAATCCTTCCCACAAAGATGGAATTGAGCTGAGCAACATACAGTAATATGGCTATTGGAATCTCTTTTAAAAACAAAACATGAGGAAAAAAGTATTTTTGAACTCATTTTGAAGTTCTTATCATCAATGAAAAGGATGTAAAATTCTTAATGTTTCTAAAAATTGGCTTTATTTTCTTTATGTAATATATATCTTCACTCACTTTAAAAAAAAAAAAAAAAAAAAAAAAAAAAAAAAAAAGGGGGAGGTCGGGG